TCCGCTAAGCCGAGCAGTGGAGCCATGCGATCGCTCACAGTCAGACATCTGGGGTTAGGGCCTTTAGGGTTTAGGGTTTAGGGTTTAGGGTTTAGGGTTCAGGGTTCAGGATTCAGGGTTTAGGGTTTAGGGTTTAGGGTTATAAACGAGGCAATATAGGGACCTTAATAATTTGAATCGGGTTTTGGGGCCCATTATGCTAAAGTATAGCTATAGTAAGGAACACCCAAAGTAGTATTGGTAAATATTTAGGCCCCGCATTAAATACCCTGACTCTCATAAGTATTTGAACCCGCAATTTAGGTGCTTAAGACCTTACTTAGGAAGTCGCATGCACTTTCATAACTAGGATCGTCTAGATCGTCTAGAGATCCTTGGGGTGCAGGTTCTAGGGTTTAGTGTATTTGGTGTTTAGGGTTTAGGGGGTTGGGATTTAGCGTTTAGGGCGTTTGGGGTTTAGGGCTCTGGGGGTTTAGGACTTAGGATCCTTAAAGGGGGGTGGCTCGAGGGATCCTTAGCGAGCCTTACGGGAAGTTCAGGAGCACTAGTCAGAATACGGTTTAGGGTTTAGGGTTTAGGGTTTAGGGTTTAGGGTTTAGGGTTTAGGGTTTAGGGTTTAGGGTTTAGGGTTTGTTTGGGTTATACCCACCGCCCTGAAGGATGCCATAATGAACTTGTCGGGAATGTAGGTTTCGGGGAATATCTACTTGTTGAAAGACGACTGAAGTAAGGGGTAGTCTTAAGGGGATTATTCTGTGAGGCTGCATTGAAAACAGCTTCCTCATGGAAGGAGGCGGATGGTCAGCGCTGGTGGTGCCAGTGTTTGATGGCCAGGGACAGACAGGAAAGCCGTTGACCTCTGAGTTCCACAGGGACGTGCCGGAACAGGATGCCTATCCGTACAGCTTCGCTCATGGCACGTCCTTTGGCTCGCTGCCATACATCATGGCGGAAGGAATGATCCGACCTCAGAATTGGTCGGTGCTCCCGTCGCTCGGCTTCTTTGGGATTGCCTGCATGGGCTGGCTGGAGAACGAGAAAGACTCGGAGGTGCTCAAGCAACTTTTGAACAACGCTCTTTCCATCGGAAAGGGGCAACAAGATGCACTCGTGTCCTATACTACCCGTCTGTTGAACGGATTTCCGACAACACAGCATGGTTATCGTCTGAGCGGAGTAGAGGAAATTTGAACCTTTAGGCTGTAGTTTCTGCAGTTTACGGTTCTTGGTTTAGGGTGTCAGGCACCCTAAACCCTAAACCCGAAGCCCCAAACCCTGAACCCTAAACCCTGTAGCCCCTAAGCGAAACCCTTCAAGCCTTCATCTAGATGATTTCGCAACAGTTCTAAGCTCAGGAGGCACATATTCGCGATAGTGTGATAGTGAGACGAGACACGATCTTTGCAGAGGTTGAAGCCTTTGCTATGAACAAACCCTAGACCCTACACCGCTCGATACGCCCTATACCCTACAAAACCATTTTCTTCAGCCCTTAAACTCATACAGAAGATCCCTCTTTGATCTACGGTGTATTCCGGAAGCAAAGGGCGTGGAAACTCAAGTTACCCTGGAAGCCCAAAGCTTTAAACACTAAGCGGTAGCTCCGAAACCAAGATATATTCTGCTCTGCGCCTTCACCAAACCCGAAACGCTAAACCCCAAGCTCTTAGCCCTAAATCCGAAGCCAAGATACTCGCCAGCTCTGTTCTTTCATTAAACGGATTAGGGTTTAGGTTCTAGGGTTTAGGGTCACAATCCTACACCAAGATACTTTTCTGCTCTGTGCCGTCACGGTCTACGCTGTGCTGCCCTGTCTCAGACGACACGGCTGGGAGTTTAACGAGGACCGTCTTTTTTTTGGGAGGGGGGTGTCAGGGGTCAGGGGTTTTCCCGGAGACTCCACAACTCCTTCTGGGTTTAGGGTTTAGGGGTTTAGGGGTTTAGGGGTTTAGGGGTTTAGGGGTTTAGGGTTTGGGGTTTAGGGGTTTAGGGGTCTAAGAGAGAACTATATGTCAAATTCTAGAATAGAGGGCTCTTTGCCTATGATTTCAGGTATATCTTCCTCAATTCAGGGGTTCTGGAAGTCGCTGGGTTCGGGCGTTTTAGGGCGCCGGTCGGATTCCCGGCTGCGCTGTTGCGGCGTTTTTTTCGGTTTAGGGTTTAGGCTTTTTGGAGTTTAGGGATTAGGGTTTAGGGGGTTTAGGTTTTCTGGAGTTTAGGGTTTGGGGTTTAGGGGGTTTAGGTTTTCTGGAGTTCCCATCAAGGGTTCCTGGTGTTTCCTGGTGCACGGTGTGGGGCGCAGGGCTAGTTCACATGCACACCTTTGCAGGTGAAATTCCTTCAGCCCTGTACGCTTAGATATGATCGTCCACACAGCCCGCTAAACCCCAAGGATCCCCAAGGCGTAGGGTTTAGGGTTTAGGGGGTCAGTTCTATTCATACAGCTGGTCGGGGAGTTCACGACGGTGGACGCAGTTGGATGATAAAGGTCTTACAGGGATTTATGAGGGCTTTACCGGGGTTGATGAGGGGTTTCCGCGAATCAGGCAGCCCTTAATCAGGGATTCACATAATGAAACGATCTGATTGGCGCTTCGGTATTAAGGTCCAGGACCCTGCTAGTCTTTCCTTGTAATTTTGCCGGAAGCTCAAGCACATCCAAGAAGCATCGAGCTGTATCGGGTTTACGGCTGAGGATTGAGAGTATAGGGCTTCAGGGTTTCAGGGTTTAGGGTTCAGGGCTGTCCTACGAAACTCCACGTATATCCGTGTGCCGAAACAGCTTGCCAAATCGGTCTGATCACGCATCTAGACCACCAGATTCATCGTGAACCCTACACTTCCAAAGCTAAACACGCTTCAGGTTTAGGGTTTAGGGTTTAAGGTTTCCGGAACCTGTCTAGTATAAAATGACTAGATGTCCCGTAGCCAAACCTAAACCATCAAGACACTAATCCGCCCCGCCCTAAAACTGAACCCCAAATTTAATATCGCGGGTTTAGGGTTTAGGGTTCGGGTGTTTAGGGTTTAGGGGTTTGAGCCCTAAGCCCTAAAAACCCTGAAGCCCGACGACCTTGCCCAAAACCTTAAAGCCTAAACCCCAGAGCCTTAAACTCGAAACCCAAAACCCCTAAACCCCTGGAGCTGCAAACCTTGAGCCCTAAAACCCGGAGCCCTAAACCCCTGAAGCCCTAAACCTAAAGCCCTGAGCCCCCCAAGACCCCCCCCAAAAACGGCAATGCCCAGGAAGCCTTGGAAAGGCCCCAAAAAACCCATAAACGGCAATGCTCTAAACCCTAAACCCTAAACCCTAAACCCCTAAACCCCTAAACCCTAAACCCTTAAACCCTAAGCCCTAAACCGAAACCCTAAACCCTAAACCGGAAACCTTGGAAAGGCTGGCAAGAAGAAGCAGAAGCGTGAGAAAGCCATCAACACGCTTGCCGGCTTGGATGTTCAGGGGTTTAGGGTTCAGGCTTTAGGATTTATGTTTAGGATTTTAAGGTTTAGGGTTTAGGGTTCGGGGTCTAGGATTTTAAGGTATAGGATTTAGGATTTCGGGTTTAGGGTTTAGGATTTGAGGTTTAGGGGTTTAGGGCCAAGTTTAGGCCTCACAGCTGCAGGAGGATTCAAGGGCTTACACCCTAATCCCTAAAAAACCCTAAACCCTAAACTCCTAAACCCCTAAACCCTAAACGCCTAACCCCTAAACCCCTAAACGCTAAACCCCAAAACCCCTGAACCCCTAAACCCCTAAACCCTAAACCCTGCGATGGGCTTGACATATCAAGGCTTCAGGGCTTTAGGGTTTTATTCTTTAGGCTCTAGGCTTTAGGGGTTTAGGATATAGGTTTAGGGTTTTAGGGTTTAGGGCTTTAGGCTTTTAGGTTTGAGGGGTTTAGGGTTTAGGGCTTACAATCAGGGTTTGAGATTTTAGAGTACAAGCTCTGTTCAAAGCATCTTCAGTTTTCCTGTGCTCAGTTTGTGCAACCCTGCGACACTCTTGGTCTAGGACATTTTCAGGTGGGTAGTTACCGTTATAACAGCCCTATAGAAGGTCTATATACCTTATGGAAGCCTTGTAGAAGCCCTATACACCCTGAACTCTCCACCTGTAGTTTCCTTTAACCTGGGACACTCCTGAGTTTGCTCCGCTCATCTGTGTTTTGCGAGGTGTAGGACCGCCGGTGAGTTTCGGTTTCTAGGATTTAGATTGCGATGGCTTGGACAAGAAGCCTACGGTGTGTATATGTATGTGTGCATATATATATATATGTATGCATACATACATACATATACATATGTATGTATGTATGTATGTATGTATGTATGTATGTATGTATGTTTGTATGTACGTATATATATATATATATACACAAATTGTGCCCCCGCAAGCTTCTAGATTGGAGCGCTTTAGCGTTCCGTCCATACCTGCACTGGGAGGGTCATCGGACTTAGTAAGTAAGGTTATAGGTACCTTAATTGGGCTTGCAAGTAGTTTCAAGTATAGGCACCTTATGTATAGCCCTAGTTACAAAGTCCCATGATCCTCCAGATGCAGTTAATATAGGGGCCTAAATAATTATGAACTCCTTTTTGGTGGGCTCCCTATTATAATTCTAGTAGAATATACCCCCCCCCCCCCAAAGCCCTATTCTAATGATTAAGGCCCCTAAACCGTACACCCTCATAGCAGCCCTTATAGAACCCTTCAAGGAACCCTTTAAAGGAACCCCAAAAGGGGAGACCCTATTCACCCCTACTCTAATTATTAAGGCCCCTTCATTATGATGATGATGATGATTATTATTATTCTTATTATTATTATGGTATATTAAGGAGGTTCCTTATTATGAGTATAGTAGAATAATATACCCCCCAAAGCCCTATTCTAATGATTAAGGCCCCTAAACCTTATAGCAGCCCTTATAGAACCTCATTGTTGTAGTAGAATATACGCCTATTCTAATTCTTAAGGCCCCTACATTCGCTTGCTCAAGGCCTGGCTCAGCAGCAGCGCCGACCTTCTTCAGGTCGTTTATAGGATTTAGGCTTCAGGGTTTAGGGTTTAGGGTTTTGGGTCTAGGATGGTTTAGAGTTTAGGGTTTTGGCTTCAGGTCGTTTATAGGGTTTAGGGTTTAGGGCTTCGGGTTTTTGGGCTTACATGGGAATTTGGATGTTAGGTGCCTTTTTAGGGTTTAGGGTTTAGGGTTTTGGGTCTAGGATGGTTTAGGGTTTTAGGTTTTTGGGTTTAGGGTTTTGGGTTTTCGGGAATTTGGATTTGAGGTGCCTTTTGGGGTTTTGGGGTTTTGGGGCAGTAAGGTCTTAGGCTGTCTTAGGCTTTAGATTTTGTTAAGAAGTGGCTGGCGAGCTCGGTGCGTGGAACTAAGGCCTTGAAGGTGTTGAGGTCTCGGTTTTCGGGTCGACGGTTTTTGGTTTTTTGTAAAATAGAATAGGGTTTTGGGGGTTCCTTCTTGTAATTATACTATACAGGACCCAAAACCCAATTCTAATTATGAAGGCTCCTACATTATATGTAAAAATAGTCTTGGGGAGGCCGGCCCTTTGAATGCTAAGAAGCTTCCCGCCGATTTCGGCACTTTTGCGTCAACGCAGTCATTACTGTCTCAACCCTACCCCCAGCAGACCAGTGATATTTATACCCTCACATATTTAACTATCGCCGGGCAACATGCTATACTGTTTACTGGGCTACTAATTCGGATTGAAGCCCAAACTTTCCCCCACACTCTATGTGCTAAAATGCGCAAAGCCTGTGCGACTCTTTAGCGAGATCTTTGGCCCTTAGCGTATAAACTAGGACCCTCAACTTACGGTACAGGTACCCCTTTTACGGGCTTAGTATAATTTCATTTTAACTATATACATATATATATATATATTTAAATATAACTATATATATATATACAATATAGTTATACACTTATATTATAAGTAATTGTATATAACTACTCTACAGGTACGTGGACACTTGGGGGATGTTATCGGAGACCTGTGAACCTGAAGCCTTGAATCCTGAGCCTACGCCCCTTCTGCAGATCTTGGCCGAGCCGTCCATACGCAACCCGGACGATTTATTGGGGTTTACTGTGCAGGGGGTAGAAGTCCGACGTTGCTTCTTCGGAGTTGGCACAAAGGCAACCAAACATGGGAGTTTCTCGAAATTGAGTTGGCGATGTTGGACTTAGTCTCCAGGAGCCGGCGTTGCCAATAAACTTGGGGGACTTCTACGACAAAGATCCAAAGAGGGCCCTTTGTGTCATGGGCTCACTGTCTGCTGTAAGGCACATATATGGCATGATGAACCTCAGGCCATCAGTTGGAAGAGACCCTATAAACCCTATAAGCCCTAAACCCTATAACCCTATAAACCCTAGAAGCCCTATAAACCCTAAACCCTATAAACCCTAAACCCAATAAACCCTATAAGCCCTAGAAGCCCTAAACCCTAGAAGCCCTATAAACCCCAAACCCTGTTAGGGCCTTTAGGGCAGATTCTGGGCATCCTTCAACCCACCGCTCAGTTGATTCGGGCTCAGGGCTTCGGGGTGCAGGGTTTAGGGTTTAGGGTTTATAGGGTTCAGGGTTCAGGGTTCAGGGTTCATGGTTTCAGGTTGTCGGGTTTAGGGTTTAGGGTTTAGGGTTTAGGGTTTATAGGGTTTGAGGGTTTAGGGTTTAGGGCGTTTGAGAGTTGGCTGCCTAGGAACACCAGGTTGAACGTCCGCCGTCTGCAGAAAGGATAGACGAATCATCGATCCGGCCCAAATACACCTCCCATGAATTCGAAGCCTGGAGACAAAGAAGTACCCTCAACTCAAAACTGATACCATTTTGGGGGTTCCCAATTATAATTCTAGTATACTGGCCCCCAAAACCCTATTCTAGTAGTTCCTGTCCTCAAGATGGTTTCATTTCGGTTCGCCTTGCCCGAGTTGACTCCACCCAGTGTACTTCGTGATGACTTCTACTGTACATTCATATATACATATGGCAGAGAGAGAGGGAGAGAGAGAGAGAGAGATGTGAAGAGGCAGAGAGGTAGCTCCAGACAAAGATGGATAAACGAGTAAGAAATAGACAAAATATATGTTCGGACAGATGAATTCATGAGCTAGGAAGGAAGATGCGTACCCAGCTACTACACCGCTTCTGATTATCAAAGGTAGCGCCTACGACTGCGCTCCCAAGCGGTACCGGGCCCAGTTCCTGGTGCTCCTCGCCCGGTGCGCGTGCCTCGGTTGAGAGAATAGCTCGCAGAAACCGCCGGTGCCGAAAGTTTCAGCTGGCAGAGTCATTGACGAGGTCTCATAGCTCTGACGTGTCAGGGTTTTCTTTGGGCTTGATGCTGTCCCCGAAACCCTACACCCCTAATCCACAAAGCCCTACAACCCCTAAGCCCCCAAGCCCGAAACCCTAAACCCGAAACCCTAAACCCTAAACCCAAAGCCCTGAACCCTGAACCAAAAGCCCTAGACCCTGAACCCTAAGCCCTAAACCCCGTAAGTCCCCCACAGAAAAAGCTTCCGCAAGGCTCTTTGAGGCCGAGAAGACGGGTGGTTGCGTGCGCCAAGCCTGGGGGAAGGCGGTCTCTGTAGTATATAAAAGAGCATATATAGGATATAGAATGCAATATGTAGTATATAGTATAGGACAAGTAGATAATATAAAGTCGAGAATACAGAATCTAGAGTATGGGCCACGTTCTTTAGAACTCGTCCTGATTCCATCGCTTGGGTGTATAGGGGCTCTCAGAAAAGTCCGCTCTTGACTGTTACTGATGTGTAGATCTCAGAGAGGCTCAAAGGGCTTGGTAGGATTCTAGGTTTAAAGGGCCTTTGGGCATGTGGAGGCTTCCGTGTCGCTTGATGTTAGTCTATAGTATCTACCGGCTTCCGCGTGCATGGACTTCAGACATGGGTTTAGGGGTTTAGGGTTTAGGGGTTAGGGGTTTTGGGGTTTTGGGGGTTTAGGGTTTGGGGTTCAGGGCTTGCTTTTTCTACCCCCCCGGTACCTCTTCGAGGGTCCTACTTTCAGGATGGTAGTTCATGCTAGCTCTAACAAACGGAGGGAGGTACATGATCGCGGGTCTACAGTTACCGCTTCGGCGTAGGATTCTTTTCGAGGGCGGGAGGGAGTGGGGTTAGGGCCGTTAGGGCACGTTTCAGATGACTTTGGTCAAATATGGGGGTTTCCGAAAATACGGGATCCTAGTATACTACCCTAAATAGTAGGATCCCTATTATAAGGACCCCAAAATAAGGTACCCCTTGTTTTCGGAAACTCCCATGTGTCTTTTCGAGCTGTAGTTTTGCTCAACGTGATTCACATCCCAGACCTGAGGAAGTCATCTTGCCACCAAGCCTCATTGTCATGGCTATGCATGTCCGTGCTGTGTGTGCTTGGAGGTGCGTATGTATGTATGTATGTATGTATGTATGTATGCATGTATGCATGTATGTATGTATGTACGTATGTATGTATCTATGTATGTACGTATGTATGTATCTATGTATGTATCTATGTATGTACGTATGTATGTATGTATGTATGTATGTATGTATGTATGTATGTATGTATGTAGGTATGTTTATGTATATATGTAGCCTGTTGTATGAATGCATGCATGCATGCATGCAATAAAACAATGTATGTAAGTATCCAGTCTATCTACACGTACATATTGTTGGGCTACACGCAGTCACGTACATGCACGTACTTGTAATAAAGGTATGTCCACATATATGCAGCAAAACGGGGACCCCCCCTGCAAGTTGCTGAAGGAGTTTCCCCAGACAGCTCCAGGCAGACCGACAGACCCATATATCCGTTTACAGCCATATCAAAGAGCCTTAAACCCTAAACTGATAATTTGAACGGAATGCCAGATCTGGGAGTCCTTCCCGGAGATCCAGCTGTGGCAGCAGTTGAGGTGCCACCTGAATTGATCATCTTTCTTGGTACCAAATCTGGTGGGCCTCTGGGATATTTGTGCTTTCCTTGGTTGAGTCAACGTTTGAGAGGCAACAGGACCTCATCTACAAATATTTCTCAGCGTGTCAGGACCAACACCTAGAAACAGAAAAGCAGGTGCTTGCGTTGCGGCAGCAGCAAAGGAGCAGTAGAGGTGTATAAGAATCAGGAAACCCGAATCCTGCCTGCCCCCCCCCCCCTCCCGAGATGATTGACCCCTCAATGGCACAAACCCCCCAAGTTGAAAGGGGTTTTACTATGCGCAGTCACCGTTGTGACACTGCTCTTCGAGGAAAGATGAAAACTCAGCTGACCGATTGACTTCGAAACCTAATTTGTATATTGCATTGGGGTTCGTTTTTGGCACCAAGGCTCATCAAGAGTTGAGAGGGAGACGCCCCAAATTCGGGACGAGTATATAGAAAGCCAGCCATCCGCGGCGACGGGCTTTGCTGACTGTCTTGAACAACCGGAAAGCCCCACTACTATAGGGGCCTGAGTAATTGCTAGGAGGTTCCTGGTTTTCACTATAGTTTAATATACCCAAAAACCCTGTTCTAATTATTCAGGCTCCTACACTAAAACCCTTATAGTAGCCCTTGTAGTATTTTATATATAGACTTTCAGCACCCTTGAGGCTCCTAATATAGGGGCCGTATTAATTACCTATACTACTTTGGGTGTTCCTTATTACTATTTTTATAATTTATAGTATACTATACCCTTTAAAACCCTATTCTAATTATCAAGGCCCCTACATTCCCCTTCTCGTCACCCGAAGGTTATTTTGCTTTATCTGGGGTTGCTGGTTTCATGGCAACTATACAGCACGTGCAGCCTCCTCGCAAGTCTCTATGATCTTCTGTTTCTTGCTGGTGCAGTGATCCCGGTAAACATTGGGTACTGCCCCCACTCAGTAGCAGTTGGATAATATTCATATTATGGATATAATAGGCCCTTAATAGTAGCCCTATTATTGACTGTTACTGTATGGGGGCATTACGCAAGGTAAACAGGTCGAACCTTAAGGCTCTACATAGGTAGTTCTCTAAACTTGGGTCCCTCTTTAGGTCCCCAATATAACGGCACCCTTACAAAAAGGACCCTTAAAGGGAACCTAATTTAGAGAACTACCCATATGGGGCTTTTGGGCTATGTTGATCCTTAGGTTAAATAATACTTGCTCTTGGCATCCGGCCCCAAACCCCCAAAAGCCCTGAAGGCCTGAACCCCGGACCCGAAAAGCGTAAGCACCCTACCCATAGGCTTCAGAGTAGTTCCTTTTTGGGGTTCATATTTAAAATCCTATAAGGTAATCCCAAAAAGGAACTACTATGCGGCCTATGGGTAAACCCCAACCCCAAAGCCAAGACCCTAGTTACCTGTCTGTCCCGCACCTGATCATCATACTTCACAGACAGATGGCACAAGTCTGCAATCTAATGTAGAAGCCTATTTTTTACCAATGGTATGTTGGGGGTTCCTTAGTATAACTATAGTATAATATACCACAAACTCTATTCACTATTCGAATTATTCAGGCTTCTACATTAGGCTCGAAGGTTTGGGCTGTTTGGGTGTTGTAAGCCTAATGAGGTATCTGCCATAAAGTTGTAATCTCAACTGTCATGTCTTGGAGGTACACCCTAAACCCTAAACCCTAAGGTAAAGAAACGGGCAGCCGCTTTTCCAGTGTCTTGCTCTTTAGGGGTTTAGGGTGCAGGGTTTAGGGTTTAGGGTTTTAGGGTTTAGAGTTTCCTTGCTTCTTCAGGGTTTACCCATGGGCCCCAAAGTAGTTCCTTTTTGGGGTTCATGTTTAGAATCCTATAAGGTAATCCCCAAAAGGAACTACTATGCGGCCTATGGGTAGGCTTTAGTATTGGGCCTGGGATTCAGAATTTCAGGTTGCGGGTAAAGGCGCCAGTTCAGGGCATGAAGAACGGCCTTTGCTCGAACAGGCAAATGCTCGTGAAGAAGTGCCAAGTACATGGGCGCCAGCCAAAGCGACGCTTGCTTGCACAAGCCCCCCAAACCCTAAACCCTAAACCCTAAACCCCTAAACCCCTAAACCCTAAACCCTAAACTCGAAACCTCAGCTATAAGCTTGGGCGTGGATCAGGACTGAATGTATCTCCCTCGGAACCCAACCCTTCATCCAAAGTAGCTGTTGTTCGAGGCTGCAGGGCCTTCAACCCCAGCCCTAAACAGCAAACTATGCCGTAGTTGAACCTGAGCCCTAAACCCTAAACCCTAAATCCTATACCCCAAGCCCCATAATCGAACCATGTGGCTTCAGATCCTCAACATGTCGGGCTTAGGGTTTCGTAGGCTTTGGGGCAGAGGCTTCTATCGGATTTGGGGTGTCGGTCTCAGGGTACCCAGGGTTTAGGGCCGTGTTGTCGCGTTGGGGGTTCAGGGTTTTTCCCTAAACCCTAAACCC